AGTCTCGTTCCTGTGTTCGCTAGCAATTCTAAACATTTGTTTCTTGATGATCAACTTCTCTCTTGTGTATCTAACTCTGACCAGATATACATACCGGTACCATTTGTTGAGAGTCCCCTTCGGCTGGTCTCTTTGCAGTTGTAAGTTCGCCTTCGACCGGCATTCTTTTCTTAGGAATCTACCTTCGGCATAGTATTCCTGGATGAAGATTCCCCTTCGGCTGGTTTCTTTATCCTAAAGTCCACCTTCGGCTGGTTTCTTTATCCTAAAGTCCACCTTCGGCTGGCATCCTTTAAAATCCACCTTCGGATGGTACCGTTTGTTGAGAGTCCCCTTCGGCTGGTCTCTTTGCAGTTGTAAGTCCGCCTTTGACCGGCGTTCTTTTCTTAGGAATCTACCTTCGGCATAGTATTCCTAGATGAAGATTCCCCTTCGGCTGGTTTCTTTATCCTAAAGTCCACCTTCAGCTGGCATCCTTTAAAATCCACCTTCGGCTGGTACCGTTTGTCGAGAGTCCCCTTCGGCTGGTCTCTTTGCAGTTGTAAGTCCGCCTTCGACCGACGTGCTTTTCTTAGGAATCTACCTTCGGCATAGTATTCCTCGATGAAGATTCCCCTTCGGCTGGTCTCTTTATCCTGAAGTCCACCTTCGGTTGGCATCCCTTAAAATCCCGCTTAGGCTGGTATCATTTGTTAAAATCCCGCTTAGGCTGGTATCATTTGTTAAAATCCCGCTTCGGATGGTATCATTTGTCAAAATCCCACTTCGACTGGTATCATTTGTCAAAATCCCGCTTAGGCTGGTATCATTTGTTAAAATCCCGCTTAGGCTGGTATCATTTGTTAAAATCCATCGTCGACTGGTATCATTTGTCAGGAGTCCCATTTGTTTGGTCTCTTCCCTCAGTAAGTTCACCTTCGATTGGTGTTTTCTTTGTAAGAGCTTTCTTCGGTCTGTCTCTTTCTTACGTATCCGATACCGACCACGGATATGTATTTTTGATACTTGCTTTATATGTCTGCTACCAACCCCAGACATATATTCTTGCATCTTTGATGTCTCTGTCGTATGTATCTGATACCGACCACGGATATGTATCTTTGATATCTCTTCCCTACGTATCCGATACCGACCACGGATATGTATTTTTGATACTTGCTTTATATGTCTGCTACCAACCCCAGACATATGTTCTTGTATCTTTGTTATCTTTTGTGCATATCCGATACCGACCACGGATATGTATCTTTGATATCTCTTTCTTACGTATCCGATACCGACCACGGATATGTATCTTTTCTATCTCTTTCGTACGTATCCGATACCGACCATGGATATGTATCTTTTCTATCTCTTTCTTATGTGTCCGATACCGACCAGGAATATGTATCTTTGATGTCTCTTTCTTGCGTATCCGCTACCAACCCCGGATATGTGTCTCTGATACTTTTTTCGTATGTCTGCTACAAACTTCATGCATATATCTTTCTTACAGGTGTTTGTTACTAAATCCCAACAGAAGTTCCTCGATAACCAAGTTATCCTTCGGTGTGTCAAACTCTGGTTAAACATACATCTAACCCCTTTAACCTAGAAAGCAAAATAATATAATAAAAATAGATTCTGAAAACGAAAAAATAATAATACCTGACTGACTCTGGAGCGCAAATTTTCGGGTTCTTTTAAGTATTTAATCTTCTTCCACCTTGAAAGTTCGAAAGGCTGGCGCCAATCTCACCTTCAGGTTGAAGACGATTAAATAGGGGCAGCTGTTGCACCCCAAAATTTTCCCTCCTAATTTCTTTTAGTTTGGCTTAGACTTTTGCATTCATCTGCATATATTTCATTAGGTCACTAACATGGCATACATTTCATTCAATATAGCTCTAAGGTTCAAAGTTCAGTGGTTGTGCAATACTAGGGTTTCACGGTGGTTAAGGCACTCATATCCAATAAAGGATGATTTCTTATTCAGACAGCAAGCTGTGGATTTAGGGTTCTGGTTCATTCTCATTTTTGGACTTCTTCACCCTCAAGCAGCAAGGCTATTATCTTCTGATAAACAACAGGTCACAAGTTTTTCTTGTCAAGAACTCAAGGGCGTGACGTAGCATACATGGTCTTTGAATCAAGACATCTCCTCATATAAGTGTGCCTATCATTTGATCAGGCTTAATGATTTTGACATGGCATTCATCCACTCTTCAATTAACCAATTCAGGTTTTGTCGAATCATGGTTCGGAGAATCATTGGTTATGGAGCTCGGGTTTTCCTTTGGTTCGAGGTGTTTATCAAACAAGACTGATTCTTCTGGTGCATTGATTTGTGAATTTAGGGTTTTTGATTGATGATTGTTATGGATTTCTTCTTCATCAGGCTACGGGGTTATTTTCTTCATCTCAAAATCAAGTTGCAAGGTTTTTATTTGTTAAGTCTGAAGATTTGGGTTCATTTCCTTATGTCTATTGGAAGATCATGCTTTGTTTCATTTCGAAGACATTTTGAACATTATTCTATCCATGTCTCAAGTCGTCACTACGCACCTAATACAAGTGGGTGCTCTAGGAGGTAAAATTTTATTTACTACGCATAGCCACTCGATTGCTCCCATGACGGGAACCGTTTCCTCGCACAACTTAAAAAGCCTTTCTCTTGAAGATTCATTTTCTATATTTTTTAACGGGCCTTTAAAGAAGGAGAAGCAAGGAGGTATCCACATTTGGTAAATATTGGAAGGGAAATTGTGAAAAAATATGGTGGGATTCCCTTGGCTATGAGAACAGTTGGGAGTTTACTTTTTTCAAAATATGAAACAATTCGGTATTGGGGAAACATGAAAGACAACGAAATTTGGAATTTACCGGACACATATGGGATTTTACCTGCACTTAAGTTAAGCTATGATCAAATGTCATAGGATATGAAGAAATGTTTTGCTTTGTTCTCCATTTACCCAAAGTGTCATGCATTTGATAGTTTTCATGTAACATCACTATGGAGAGCCCTTGGTTTTCTTCCAACTCAAAACAGAAATCAAAATCAAACGTTGAAATATAGTGCCAACCAATATTTGTTTGAACTGCTATCAATATCTTTTCTTCAAGATTTTGTCGTTTATGACATTGGTTTCACTTTCAAAATGCATGATTTGGTGCATGATATAACTATGTATGTTGCAAGTGTGGACTTTAGGGGAGCTATTAAAGTTTTGTACATTATGATGTGAGAATATTTTGACATCAAATTGAACATCGCTTTTATACTAAACAATTCAATGTTCAGTCCATTTATAATCTAACTATCCACCACCATGGATGAATAAAGGCTTCATTTTGAAAAGGATAAGGCTTTGGCACGACGGTTTCAACCTGATTGGATCAATGAGCCAAGTGAGGATGATGCAATTAACATACTCATGGGTATATGTGATAAATTTGAGGAACATCACAAATGCATATATACGGAAGATGCCATAAAGGCTGCAGTTCATTTGTCAGCAAGATACATAGCTGATAGGTATCTACCTAATAAAGCTATTGACCTCATAACAGAAGCTATTAGAAGAAACCCATTTACAGTGTTATTGTTTAACGAAATAGAGAAAGCTCATTCAGATATATTCAATATCCTTCTTCCACATCAATTTCAGAATATAAAAAAATTATGGATTGGTGGGAATAAATTCCATGCTACATTGCAATACAAGATGGCATTCAAGACATTTTCATTACAATTTTACCATCATGTTACAAAAGAAATTATAAAAATCCTACACGACACCAAAGCCATTATGTCTTCCACGAAATCCCACAGTTTGACCTTACCTCTTCACCATAATCTTCACACTGCTTCAACACAAATCCTACTGGCCACTTGGAACTCAACCTGTAAAATCGCATCAAAACAATCCACAATCAGAACCAAAACTAACAAGCCAATGACATAACCTTCAGCTTGCCAACTAACAATTTCTAACAAATTCTAACAAACTTCTAACTTCCTAATTGCTAACAAAATCCATAACCAACCCATAGCATATTTGCAACAGAAAGCCCTGCACATAACAAACTAACTACTAACTGCAAACAGAATTTCAATACAACTAACTTGTAACCATAACAAACTTCTAACCAAAATTTTCTAACTGAATTTTCTAACTAACTCTAACAGTTTCTAAGCTCCTAACCAATTCTATAACTAACTCTAGATAACCAACTAACAATAACTAACTGCTTTCTAACAGATTTTTGAAAGCTATATAACAGGGGGGATCATTATTCAAGAGAAAAAAGGGGATTCATAATAGAAAAAAATTCACAAAGAACTCACAAAACCTCTGCAGCCTCCACTTCTGAACCATACTCTCTTCAAACCTCGACCTCCATCTTCAATCTTCATTTTCCTTCCTCAATCTCACAAGTCTTTGCACCTTCAATCATCACCCATCTTCATTATTTATCTATCTCAAGTTCTCTCTGTACTCTCTCAATTTTCTCGGCTTCATCTTCTTTGATCATCATCATCTCTTCAAATTTCATAACGATCATTCACAGAATTCTAAAGTCACTCTCAATACCCTCTCTCTCTGAAAACCCCTCCAAGGTTCTCTGCATTACTGGCACCATTTTTACATAAAAAGAATTCCTCACGCATCACTCTCTTCATTTCTCAACTCATCCATCACCATCTTCACTCTCAACCACCGTAACAACCGCTGAAATTATTCACCGTTATCCAAATATTCATCACACAACTGCGTCTTCATTCATCATCAAAACGCATCGTAGTTACATCGTAAAAACCACATCGTCACTGCATCACAAAACACATCAACATCTTTCTACAATGCAATCTACAACAAAACCATGAACTGCAAATCAGCGAGAAGAAGAATAAGAAGAGCAAACAAATTAGAACCAAAAGAATTACCTGGTTTCCTCGATTGCATCACTGCAGTTGCGGTCTGACTTCATGGTTGTTTAGATTTATGCAGTGAGACTCAAAGCGAGATGAAGAGTGACACGTCGGCATGGTTTGTGGGAATTCGAAGAAGCATAAATCCACGATGAAGATTCTCTATGATCTCTGTTATGATGATGACGGTGGTAGATCGTTGAAACTCGTTGGAAGATGAGATTGAAGAAGAAGGAAGCCGCATCAGATGGAACAGATGGAAGAGAAGACACCGCTCATGGTGGAGTCGCGAGAAAGAGATATCCGTGAGGTGATAGAACCAGGATGAAGAAGAAGTGACCGCGCCGCTGGTGTGTCGGCGAAGAAGAATCGCGACGGTGAAGGCGAAGAGAGAATCACCGGCCGCCGTTGTAAGAAGAAGAAGACGGCGGAAAGGGTGTCCCGCGGCGCCGTTGTTGAATGAAGGGGACAACCCATCTAACCCTGATTTCATATTCTCATTCCTTTCAATTTTATTTTTATTTTTTTTTATTATTTATTTATTTCTGATAAAACAATAAAAAATAAGGATAAGCTAGGAATTGTTGTTGGGCTGAAACTATTATTTCTTTTTTTTAGCCCATACTGCACCTTTCTTTTGGAGCTTGGAGCTTGCTACAAAAATGCATTCTGGATCCTTGCTAAAATGGGCCTAACACTCTGATTTCAATACTACACCCCTTGTCCTCATAATCTTTAGGATTTTAACTTTGTATATAATTTTGTATATTTTTTACGGTAAAAAAATTCAAAAATCCATAAAAACTTGTTAGTTTTGATTTAGGAATTAATTCTTGTTGGTTTGTTAGAATTTTCTCTAAAAAAAAATATAATAATAAAAAAAAGAGGTAGTATATAAAAGAATTTTTCTAGAATTTCTTTTTTAAAATTTTAATTAGAATTTTCTATTAGCATTTATGTTTAGTAACCATTCTCATTTTCATCCTTAGTTAAGATTTTGTTCGGATATTGATGTAACTTTCGCAATGGGAAATGCTTGGATATTAATTTTCGATCACTCATGCAGAGTAACTTCTGTAGAGTTTTCTTACCACTTGCGGGACTTTAAAGAGGCAATGGACCTTCTCCGTTCGGTATCGTCACAACCTTATTTTATCCCTCATTTCGCACTTTATTGCATTTCTTTATCGCAAACCATACGCATGCTAACATTAGGTAGAATTCCTTCAAAATTCTAACTTTAGGTCTAATACACAATAACATTAGGTTTAGAAATAGGCTAGTCCCCCTTTGACTTTTCTTTCTCTTTTCGCATACGCATCTAAAACAAAAAAAAAACTTCTTTCTCTTTCAAAATTCAAAACACTTTAAATTTACTGACTAGAATCATATCTTCGTTAAATATGTGAGATGATAAGCGGGTTTCTTCTCGACCTTATTATTCTCTTGTTCTAAGCTTTGGTATGATTCAAGTCTCAAAGAATCATTTCATGAATAAGTAGTGACATGGATAAAATCTCTCTCTTGAGATTAACTAGCTATTATCTACAAGCAAAAATACCAACCAATACAAACTCTTGTTGCCTTCGGGCCCTTCCTTTCAAACCTTTTTCAAAAGAACATGTTAATGCACTTCTGTGCTGACGCGTAAGTCTCCAACGGTCGAGTTACGACAGAAGGCGAAATTAATATCGTTCATTAAAAACCTAAATCAAATTCAAACTTTTGGGCGCCCAAGCGCATTTTCTCCAAATCTTTTCAAAAGAACATGTTGATTCACTTCTGTGCTGACGCGTAAATCTCCAAAGGTCGAGTTGCGGCAGAAGGCGAAATTACTATCGTTCATTCAAAAAACAAACAAGTTCAAGGGAGAATGGGATACGAAGCATTTGAATCTTGTCCCTTACCGAGAACATGTGCTTACCTTAATTTTGTACTTCGAAGAGATTACCTTTGGGCATATCCTAAGAGAAGAAAATCACTTGGCAGACGCATTAGCTACCATGTTATCTATGTTCAAGGGCAGATGGGACAATGAGTCTCCCAGAATTACCATTAAAAGATTCGACGAACCGTCACATTACTATGAAATTGATACTGATGGAGTAGAAGAAAAACCTTGGTTTCATGAAGTGAAAAGGTACCTTGAAGCTCAAGAATACCCTGAAGGAGCATTTATCAATGACAAGAAGTTCCTACAGAGGTTCTCGACTAAGTTCTTCTTGAGCAATGGAATTTTGTACAAGTGTAAACATGATTCAACTCTGCTTCGTTGTGTAGACAAGAAGGAAGCAGAGAAAGTTATAGAGGATATGCATGAAGGAATATTTACTACTCACTCCAGAAGGCATATTATGGCTAAAAAGATTCTGAGAGAAGGTTACTATTGGTCGACCATGGAAACCTACTGTCACCACCACTCGAGAACTTATCATAAGTGCCAGATTTATGCTGATAAAGTTCATGTGCCTCCAGTACCTTTGAACATCATGACTGCTCCTTGGCCATTTGCAATATGGGGAATTGATATGATCGAAGAAATAAAGCCTGCTACTTCTAATGGACATCGCTTCTGCCGTACCCCAAATTTACCCTACCTTGATGACTTATTAAAATAGAAGAGATATTTAATTAAAGATGGTACAACAATATCTGATGACCCATTTTTATCCAAGACTAGGGAGTGTATTTTAAGTTCAGGGAAGTGGGGCTTTTTTTAAATCAGAAAGACTCATAAAGCCATTCGTGAAGCATGTTGGCTAATTACCCATGCGATTCGAAAATAGAAGGTTATTTTGAATAATTATTAAGTTTTTAATTACGGCAGCCCATTTAAGAATGGTAGTTGTTAGTAAGAAGGGGGTGTCACTTCAAAATTAAAAGTCCATTTCATTTTTTGTTAATAACAGTAGAGGTGAGGATATAATTATATTGGCCCATTTCTTTTCAATAGCAAACCGTAAGGAGGGGGTATGATTCTGAATCACATGCCCAATTATCATTTTTGGAACTTACTATTTCATCTCAAAAAAGAAAACGTTCTCATTAGAATGGTTTTGTTTATAGTTATTTTGGGCCCAATTTGGATTAAAAAAGGAAAAGAAATTGTATTAACTTTTGTTATTAAATCCTTTTATATTTATTTTGTTGTTGTTATTAAAAGATATTGTCAATTATTAAAGGTTTTTTTTCTTATAAAGGGTCTGGACAATAACAGACCGGTTGGGCTCGGTCTATATAAAATTTGTTGTTGTTTGCAGTAAACATGTTGGGCTGATTGCTAAGGACCAAATTTATTAAGTGCTAGCTGGACAGTAAATGCCCAATTTCAGAACACAAATTGGACAGTAATTAAAACAGCGCTGGCCCAATTGAATAAAAAAAACAACAACAGTACCAATTCAAGCCCAAATTAAGCGCATGTTTTTGGCCAATTACACATACTGTAGAAATTAAAATCAAACACAATCAAATTAAAACATGATCAAATCTTCATCAGTCCAGCCCATAATGAATCATATACAGTACAAATTGAACCAAATCAAATGAAATCCGGAAATTACATTACCATAAAATCTAATCAATTATATTCAAATTTCAATCAATCCCTAATTGTCTAAATTTCCTAAATCTATCTCCCTAATTTGTGCTAACAAACTATAACAGCAAATCCAAAACCCTAAATAATTAACCCTATAAATACTAATTAAAGATTACAGTGAAAAGGGAGGCGATTACTGTGAAGAACACGAAGAAGAAATGGGAAGAAAAAGACAAATATCGAGATGGAGCAAGAACACGAAGAAGACTCGGAGCACCGTTGAAAAATAAGGTTGTTGCGATTGGGGTTTCGACATCTGAAACCCTAATAGCTAGCCGTTGATTCGCCTCCATAACCTTCATTGGAACCTACGATCAAAAAAGGAGAAAGAGGATTAGCCAACAAAAATTCAATATCCGGAAGCGCAATCACAAGAGGGGTAAAAAATATTAGCTTTTTCTTTACTGTTCTTGTGTTTGGATTGTGATGAATAGGGTTACAGCGAAGAAGGGTTGGGTATAGCACCACCGTGGGACTGGATTAGGGTTTAGGGAGGTGGAAGAAAAGGATAAGGTTGGTGTTTGGTATGCGTGAGAGAGAGGAGAAATATAATGTTTTAATGTAAAACAAAACTGAGAATAATGAATAATGAAAAAAAATGAAACAATGTAGTATATTCCGTTCAGATCCCATGTGCGCTAGTACACCTTAATGAACGTGCTCTTTCATTTTCATCCATCATATTTTAATCTGATGGCCGTTAGGCCAAGTCATGCGTTAACCTTCGTGTGCCTTCCCACACTCAATCTCCCAGAACACTCCTAAAACTCCCTGGGCCTAAGCCCATTATTATTCACACCCCCTATTCCATTGTTTTACAAACGTGAACAACAACACACACCCCCTGTCTAAAATCTTACTTGGGCCCAGTCAGGTTACTAAAACAACGTCCCTATCCTTTTACTCCATAACCAGAAATGCACCCCCCAGGTTTAATCAATTATTTCTTTTATTATTTTTAATACATTATATTTTTATCTATTTTTAATTCTTATACTTATTATTTTTTTATAATAATTATTATTTATATTTGCAATTATTATTATTATTATTATTATTATTAATTTTTATATTAATTATTATTATATATTATTATTTATTATATCATGAAAATAAGTTTTTCTATATCAAAATGCATACATTATTTTCCTATATCATTTGCATTAAAATATTTTTACTCATGCATTAACCAAGAATTTCGCAATTAATATTATAAAAACACTTAACTAATCTCAAACTATTTTTCGCAGTCAACTAAGCTAATCAATTGTTTTTGCAAAAGGGTTTCAAACGGATTTTGACTAATCACGCATTTAGCCAAAATCTCCGCAATCACTACTCCCGGTCAAAATGCGAGGTGATTCAAAGTACGTTTGTAACCCTTAAAAAACACCAACCTCATACGAGCTATGAATTGGGACTTTGATTCCTCATAAGAGGATAAGTAGGCATACGATAAAAAATCGTAGTGAGTTCCCTTATAAAAAAATTAAACCATTTCCCCTAATAAAACTTAAAACCCTATTTTCACCCAAACGTAAACCTAAAACCTAGTATCCTTGTGAACAAGGTAGATGAAAGGTGCCTAACACCTTCCTTTCGTCTAATAGAGTCTGAAACTTAAAATCCCTGTCTGCGAATTAGGGTTTTCTATTAGATTCCCTTCCCTAGGATAAAAACTAATAGTGGCGACTCTGATTTAAAAACCAGTCGCAACAGCTGGGGACTTGAACTTTAGGTTTTAGGGTTTTTACTTTGGGGTTTTAATTAATTTATTTATTTATTGCATTATTTACTTATTAAATTATTTATTTATTGTATTTATTTATTTATTGTCAATTCTTTTTATCATATATTTACGACATGGCGAGAATTTTTATTTCAAAAAAAAA